GAAAATGTCAAGGTGTTCACAATCAGACCAATCTGTCTGAACTCCCTATAATTACTCCCTTGACTCTGCTGGCAAAAGAGGGGAAGAGAACCTGTGGCTCAGTGACTAAATCACTGACTAGTATGTATAACTGCCCAGGTTCGAATCCCATAAAGGGTATGGCTAACTGATGAAGGCAAAAAAGCCAGAAATGGTCCATATATATATATATATATATATATATATATATATATATATATATATATATATATATATATATATATGATAAATAATAAAATGTGAACACCAGGAGATTGCAAAATCTTTAAAAGTTTTAATAAAACATTAAAAACCTTTAAAAGAATTTTTAAAAAGGACCTAGCTTTCGTTGGATCCTACCAACATCATCAGGGCACAAATAACTCAATTATCCACAGGCAGCATTCGCAACTGCGACATCATATGTGTTTTTCAAAATTTGGATTGCTGACAAAGAATTAAGGGAGAACTGGAATAGCCATTTCGAACTTTTTAGTTCTTTTAACTGCCAGTGGGGTTTGAACTGATTGAGTGGGAACACAGCCAAGCTCCCACCCAATCAGTTCAAACCCCGCTGGCAGTTAAAAGGAAGAAACAGCTGCGATCACACATTGCTCCTAGAAGCACGAGGCTGAAAACAGCCTGAAGATGACAAATGGGACTTCGTCGAAACGTCGCCAAGACACTTCCAATTTTACGCGGGAGAAAACCCAAATAACCAAATTTCTTTTTCTGACAAAGAGTTAAAGAATTAAATTGGGAGACTAAGATGGCAATTTCTAGCTTGTTCTGCTTTCATCAGTTAGCCATACCCTTTATGGGATTCGAACCCATATATATATGCAGGTCTTGGCATATTTGGGTCTTTTCCCATGTAAGATTGAGAGTATCTTGGCAACATTTTGACGAGGTCCCACTCGTCATCTTCAGGCTGGGGTCTTCGGCTTCGTGCCTGTGCGAGCAGTTTTCTGCCTGAGGTTTCCTGCCTGAGCAGGGGGTTGGACTAGATAACCTCTAAGGTCCCTTCCAACTTTATTATTATTGTTGTTGTTGTTATTTTCAGATAAACATTTCCTGGCAAAGTCTTGCATGGTCAAATTTAAATAAGTAATTCTTACTTTATGCGATTAATGTATATTTGTAATTACCTTGCACATGATCCATAAATAACTAAGACACCTGAACTGAAACTATAATTTGTGCAATTATAATTTGACACCGTGTTCCTTAGAGGTTGTAACAAACACCACAGGCAGACAGAGAGAGAGAGAGAGAGAGAGCTGCCTACATCAAAAAGCATTTCTTAGGGATTATAGAATGTATAAGTCAGTTTATATTTATATTAACTGCATATAACAACTTTAATGCATAAATAAAACAATAGCAGATGGAATTGGGGTTAGAGATTTTGCAATTGGATAGTTGTGGTTTGCAGATTGAGCGATCTCATTTTTATATCATCTTTGTTCATTTCAATGGTTTTTGTTTGTTTTCTTAATTTATTTGATAATAGTTATGTAAAAAATTTCTACTTATTATTCAGAGAGGTATCTATAATTTAAAGAAAGTTACGAAAATTGTATGATGTATAGACTATAGCTAAATCAAATTTTATTGTAGTAGACATACGATTTCTCTTGTTTCTGATGAAAGATGGACATGCACAAGGTGTTATGTTCAGTCAGTGACCTGCAAGTTTGAAGAACAAACACAAATTTTAAAAAATAGTTATATGGCAGCATCTAATAAAGTCAACAAAATCTGGATCTAGGAAAAGTCAAAGTCAGGTAGAAATGGTTCTCCAATCTTAAATTTCAATGTTTAGTAAAAGAAATAGGATTGGAAAATATGAGAGTCTTGAAATAGGGTCTCTTTATGGGTGCTTGTTTAAAGATATGACTTGGTGCCAGAAATATTTAGGTTGCAGCTCATATTTTACCTACAGTTAAATAACTTCTGTTTCTTTTTAAGAAAAACTCATTTTATGATGAACTTCTATCCGGAATTGAACTTGAAACTAGAATTCTTTGCCTAATGTCCCCCAGAGTTTTTGACCAAGGAAGTAGAAATACATAAACCTGATAGAATGTAAGAAAAATATTGTCTACACAAATGGCTAATGGTTCAAAAAGCCACTAACAAGTTGAGTCAGTGTTGGGATTTCGATTGCATTTGCCAATATTAAAGGAAAAGTAAATTTAGGCTTATTGAACAAGAAGCCTTCATAACATGGAGCCTTATGTTCCTTTATGTTTTGTTATGTTTGAAACAAAATGATTAAGTAATGATTAAGGGATGCTATGCTTTATACATAGATATCCATATCCTGATATTTGGAAACATTCTTAAGGAGAAAGGAGTATCAAATCTTTGTAATATTCTACTGTAATAATGAAGAGGCTAGAGAATGTTGGCATTGTTTTGAGACAAAGCTTTTTCTACTGATATAGGCTGCCAGTTTCCCATAGCAAACTTGTACAGTACCTTGAGATTATCAAGTGTTTGGATTCATTCCACTTTCTGTTGATTTGTGTGCTTTTATAAAACATGCCTTAAAAGTAGGAGCCTTTCCACTCCTGCTTTAAATTTTTGCATCAGTTCAGCATATTTTATAAAAAATGTGTCCAGATAAATTGTGAAATGAGTTTTAAAGGTCTTAAAGCCCTATCCTAGTTATAATTTGTTTAAAAATCTATTTTTTCTTAATTGAATATATAAATATATCTTAGTAACAGATGTTTAGTGTTAAATTTAACAATGGAAAACATTATGTTTTCAGTTATTGTTTGTTTCTTGAAAGAAATTGCTTGTACAACTATTTAAATTTTGTTCTGTATTATAACCTATGCTACAAACAATTGTATAATGGCACCAATACTATGATTATTTTATTCAGTAATAATAAATAATTTCTTGACATAAAAAATGTAAGCCTACTACGGTTTTATATGAAAGATAAAATAAGATTAACTTCAAATGGAAAGATTTTATGTCACAGGGTAATGGGCAGGGCTTTTTTTCAGCCGCTTGCGCCGCCTTGGCGCAAGGCCGTGGAAAAAGGCCCGGCCGGCGTGGCCTTTATCGGGGAGGGTGTGGCCTTTATCGGGGAGGGTTTAAAATGAACGTAAGGACAAGAGATTTCCCCGCCAGGATCCCAAACTACTCCCGCACCGGTCCAAACTCAAGGCGGTGGAAAAGTCCGAGAAAAAAAGCCCTGGTAATGGGATATGACCCCCTTCAAGGAACTCTAGTCAAGTATTTTTATGTATTTTGTACATATTTTCATGATTCAATTTTTTTCATATCTATAAACTTAATAATAATATTCTTAAAGAGTATATGTCACTTTTTACTCAAGCACAATTTAACTTTTTAAACCTTAGAAAATCTGGTTTGTTTCCTGATATTTATATTAAACATAGCTTGCATACTGGTGGTGAAGAAATAAAATCTTTGTAACATGTGCTTGGTTTCCTGTACTTAAAACCTGAATAGAAGTAATTTAGAAAAGGCTGTGATAATGCTGCTTATGAAAATTAGGCTTGAAGCTGAAAACTAAAATAAATAAAGTCCAATATTTTAAGTTTCTTCTATATGATGTACTTTCTAAACATAATATTGCTGCCCTGTACAGTTTGATGTCATCTCAAAAAAAAAATCTAACATGTTCTTTGTTCATTTAGCCATTGCAGTTTGTTAATATTTCTGTTTCCTTTTTCAGCTGATGAAGGGATGATGAAGGAACTTGATCAAGTTCAGGTTCTCCATAAGAGATCGGTTATGCCTTACAGGGTGTATAAGAGAAATCGAAAAGGACCAAGTGATGAAGAAACTGTACAGCAATATGCCACTCTCGTGGGACAGGCATGCTTGAAGAGGATGTTGCTTTTTCGGAACTGAATATTCATTCTGTAGATCAGGGGTTCTCAAACTTGGCAACTTAAGGCTTGTGGACTTCAACTCCCAAAGCTGGCTGAGGAATTCTGGGAATTGAAGTCCACAAGTCTTAAATTTGGCAAGGTTGGAGACCCCTGCTGTAGATGTTCCAGAACGATGTTTTGTCACACCACTGCAAGATTCCATATCTCTGCAGTTTTCTGTTGTTATGCGTATTAAAAAAATATGTACTGTGTATCCTTTTCTGCCTGGAAATGAACATGTTGACAAACTTTAGCATAAAACATTGGTTTTGAGTCTTTATATTAAGGGTTTGGCAGAATATTACAGTGACTGAGTTCATGAGATTAAAGTCCTTACATTTTCAAATAAGTGAATGGGATGAGTATAAAAGTGAGTGGAACATTTGAAGTAGCATTTTGTAGGTATTTACAGAAGAGAATATTTAAAATCAGCTGGGTGATGAAATATAAGTTGTGAAAAGTATAAATATTTCAGAAATTTTATATTTTCTTTAACTACTATCAGATAATTAAATATTTTGTTCTAGTGTTATTTCAGAATTCAGTTAGTCAGATACTTGGAAGTAAGCCAATGTTTTGCACTATGCTTCAGTGTCAAAAACCAACCACTGACTAGTAGAATTGGTGCCTAGGATTGCTATTATATCAGAGGTCCCCAACTGGTTCCACCGAGAGAGGTTTTTCCGCGGACCGGAGGGTGCGTGGTTTTGTGTGCTGCCTGCATCCCACAGATGGGGCTTTGCTTGTCTGTGCGGACTGGTTGCTGGCATGCTGCGGCCCGGTACCAGTCCACGGACCAGGGGTTGAGGACCTCTGTATTATATGACATAATATAAAGCCATCTAATGTGTATCTATGCACTGCATCCTTCAAATTATTCACTGCAGTCTTTTAAATGTTTGCTTTAAATAACTTATCATTGTATTGAAATAACCAGGAAGTTTGATGATTTAGGTTTTTGGTGTTTTTTTTGTAATTAAATTGACATTTTGGGAAATGTTGGAATTGAAATGTTTATCAAATTACCAAAGAAATTAATTTAAATATGTAGATTAAAACTATATTGAAGTACATCCCATTTTTCTTTTGTTTTATATTCTTAATGTTTATGTTAATTGTAGTATTCAGATAATTAGTTTTCAACACACCATTAAAAATATCTTATTTGACACAGAACAATGTTTTAACTGGGTATTCAGAACTTTTAATGCTATCCTGTATTTTAAGCTGTAAAATACAAGGCTATGAAATGCAACATTCTGCGGTCAGTTGATATTTTTCAGACAACTTTGATTAGTCTTTCTCTCGTTGTCTAATACAGTAGGATAGCAGAACATAAAAATCCTGTTATGCATCTAGATTTTGGGGTGAAATAATAGTATGCATGGAAATAGCATTTGTTCAGAAATTCTTATATGCATGTAGTAGTGCATATTGTATGTTCATTGAAATGCATACATGTTTAGTTAAATATGCTGATATATTGTCAGTGTTATAGTTTTGACATTATCAGCCATTGTTAAGGGGGGGAATCACAGATTTTCTTAATTAGTTCTTAATTTTACTCCTGCATCCACACTTGTTTGGCATGACCATTAAACATAGTACCAGCCAGTAACAGTGTGATCCATAAAAGTATGGATGTCCTATATGATTATTCTTGCCTTTGAAAATAACGTTTCTTTTTTTTACATAGTTATTTTTATATGTGCAGATTTTATCCAGAATGAATTCCTTTTTATCAGAATGGTATTTCTAAGCAATATTTCTTATAATTATTTTGAACACTTTTCAGTTGTGGCTAAAATAAGATTTTTTAAACAGTTGGGTCAGACTTAATCATATGTAGAATAAATTCACTGAAATCAATGCAACATTAATCCCACTGCAGTTTTATTTATACATCATACAATGTAATCTGATAGTATTTGTTCTAGCATATAGAGTTTAAATAACATCCTAAACATAAAATATAGGAAGTAAAATACATATTATTAAGTCCTTAAGGTAGTAACCTCCCCTGGATTAATTTTGCATGGATTTCGTACTCAGAATTTCTAGTTGAAAGATTGGCTGTATCTTTATTTGTCCTCAAACAACCAAAGGACCCATGCTTTGGAGAAATTATATAATTACAATTAGATTGTGTGTTCATTGGCTGGTATTTTTTATCCAATAAAAATAATTAATATTCAATTGCCACTAGGGGGCACATTCCAACTTGAAAATCATTAATGAACTGTTTGTCATTTCAACAATATTTATTATTATTCTACATCTGGTTTCCCTACAGTTTTTTTTTTAAAAAAAAATTCCTGGAAATCCTGATAAAGAAACCATTATTAGAGTCAACATGTACAATCATAAAATAGTGGAGAGTCAGTAGAATAAAAATACATAATTGATATTAAAACTAAACATTATTTTGTTTAAAACAAAACAACAAAAATATTTGAGTCACCGAAAGAACATTGAATAAAGCATGTCAATGTATCTAGGATTCAATGAATATAGTACTTCCATTCTCTTGCTTTGTGTGAGCTTGTTCATTCAAGTATTTGAATTTTGTGCCACAGTAGTTCCCATTGATAAAAAGAAAAGCTGGTTATTTTTTTGTAACATCTCTCTTCTGCTATTAGAGAAATAACACTGAAATGGAAAAAGTATTCTCAGTAGTATATAAACAGAGATTATACATTAATGTGGTGTTTTGGGTCATTGTTGGTAAATTGGAATTGCTTCTGTAAACATGGAGTGATGATTTTAAAAACTGCTCCTTACATATATGAGGGATTCATGTTGGCTGGGGGTGATAGAAGCTAGTTATAAAGCCATAATATAGAACAAAATTGTTCTGTTCCAATCCCCAAATAAATAGGCCTGAGGGATTATTTCCACCATTAAGCTGCTGACAACACATACGTTTACATCTTGTATTATTTGGAAACTAAAATGAAATAAAGAACTGCTTAATAAACAGGAGTATGTTGGACTGGAGCCAGGATATCTGAAAGACTGCTAATTCTTGTATGAGCCGGCTTGTAAAATATGTAACACAGGATTATGATTATGCTACTATGAAACTCTTTCCCAAGAAAAAAGTCAGACTTCCTTTTTCCAATATGTTGTAGACATGTAGCTTTACCCTCTTCCCAAAATCAGATTTTTATTAGTTGGTGAGGTACTTTAATTATTACTGTTCCATGTTTTAATTAAAGTTTTATTTCACTTTAAGTTTATTATATTACTTAAAACTGTGTGAGAGTATGTGTGTTTATGTGAAGAGATAGTATGTGGTTGAGGGCCATTTAAACAAAATCTATTTTTATCGAACGTTAACAAAAGATACAGGACCTGTCAAGACATTTAAAGAGAAGCTATTTATTTCACTTGAACAGAAAGATGAGAACTGTCAGCTAAGTAGTAATTTAATATATAAGGTCACCAATAAATGTTATTTTCCAAAAAGGTGGAGAATTGGAAATATCATTTGTGTTTCATCATTTCCATTAATGTTTTTCAAACAAGATAGGTTACACATTACCCATTAATCAAAGCTGTTGCTCAAGTTGCAGTATAATCTTTGTCCATTCTTGCTCTTAAACAGAAAGCTACCCAATAGACTCAGTATTTTCGTGAAATTCCAAATATTAAGAAGCCATCAGTTTGAAATTTTGCATAAGCATTTAATGTGGGCAGCTGTTGATTATGGCTATCATCATTTTCAAATAGGTAAACCTCGAGAGTGAGGATGCCTCAATATTTTAAAGAAGGTTGCTTCCTTCAATGCACAACACGCCTTTGAATTCTTTGCCCAATCCTAGTTCATGATTTTGTTATATGTTATGAAAAGTAGTATTTTATTATAACTGGGACAGATAAGAAACTTTTAAAGCCAAGTAAATATAACTGCTTTACATTTTTTTTCTTAATCCTTTCCCTAAAACTTCTTATTTGTTTGAAGAACTGTGAGTGTAAAACATAAAATATTCCTTATGTACAATACTAACAGAGCAAAACAAGAAATGAAAAAGAAAAAGATCAAACAGCTCAATGAGAATTGAGCAAATGCTAACAATTATGGTAGGCCTACAACAAATAAGGCATATGCTATAATAGTTCCTGAAAGCACCCTTTCCAAACTTTATGTTAAGCATTTTTAAAAAGAAACCTTATAGGAGAATTAGGAAAAATTATGAATTAATAAAATTAAAAAAGAATTCTCAATCACCTTCTGTGATACTGAATCAAAAACCTGAAGTATTGGGGGAATTTTGCTATTTTTCCTGTGCTATTATGAATCCTGCATTTACAAAAATAAGATCCTTATGTGAATTATTTTGATTTTCAGGAATAAATAATAATACTTTAAAATAAGGGATGTAGCTTCATATTAGGAAGAATGGAATATCTGGGGCCTGGTGATATTAAAACTGGTGGGCACATTATAATGTTTTATGGCATTTGACCGAGTAATATACATAACAAGACTGATTCCTGTTTTGAAATTATTTTAACATAACTGTCATCACTGGATGAAATAACATATGGTAGAAAAAGCAGAGAAGCAATAGTAAGAACAAATGTATCTTGCAGTAGACTTGTAGCTTGTAAGGAATTTGTTAGAAGCTTTTGCAGGTAAAAGGACATTGCAAATTATTTAACAAGAAGAGGACGTCGTCTCATTTGTGTCAGATGAAAAATGGGGCATCGTGTGCTGCTATTTATTGTTCATGCTCCAGAGTTAACTGATCTCTCATATCTTATAATTAAAAATCTATTCCTTATCAGAATTCATACTAAGAAAGGTGAATGATCACTGTAATATGATGAAAAAAGAATCACCACCCTCTGCTCTGCAGTCTTGAATTTGCATTCTGCAATTCTATGCCATCAATGATTGAAGTCTTCTTCAGGCATTGAAAAGGTAAAAGTTTTTACTAGAGAGAAAGGTTATTACAGGATAAGAACAAGCATTTTATGTCCATCTACAATCCCCATGCTTAT